GGAGGCACGCCAAGGTGAGGGTTTGCGACGTGCGAACTACCTGTACCCTCTCCCGCCTCCGGTCTCCATGGCACTGTTTTGACGCCGGACTCGTTCGGGGGAGGAGAGTATGCGGTGGATGCAACGCAAGTCTAATGCCAATGTTGAAAAAATCGTGCATAAGTCACCGAGTATGCTCTCACACTGCTGTGCAACACATGGTGTACATCGACGGTCGGATTATCATATTTGTTTCCGAACTAGTTCAGGCTTGACAACAATGTCATTGAAAAATCATTCATAAAGCGCAAGAAATGAAGGAATCGGTTCGGACTCAGTTGGGAACGCCGGCGCTATATGGTCGGTTTTGTGCTGCGAGTAGAATGTTAAAAGTACAACACATCCTGCTGACATGTGTGCACAAAGAGGGTACTGCGTCCTTTAAGTTGTAGTGGACAGCCAAAGTGGCAACGTTGCGCCTCTCGCTAGCACCTGCACCTACGTCCTAGTGACAGCCTACTATGGCACGCACGTCTGCCCGGCTTCGATTTGTCTCGTTGCAATTCACTGTCTGCACCACGCATCTGGTCGATACTCTGCCCGCACCATGCGAGGCTACTCATACCCTCGCGTGGGCTTGGAGCCAATCAACGCACCTACTATCGCTGATTGGTAAGACAGACGGAAACAACCCAGAACACCAGTGTAAACAATCTGCCACGACACTTTTGCAGCGGCGACCTTCGGCGACACACGACTCGTCGCTCTCGCGGACGCCGCCTCCGCGGCGCCGGACGCACCCTCGTCCGGTTGCCACCTTCCCTTCATTATTCTGTACAGAACAAATAAATCATTTTTCCTCTTCAACTGGCGTCCTGCTTCTAACAACTTGGGATATGGCCTGAAGTTGTGGCGCACTGAGCATGCAACATCACCGCTTATCCGCTACAAAGTCTTCTCAGTTACTATGGTGTTGTTCATTTGTTGCCCCGAAGAGGCATGATGACGGACCTCGTCGAGAAGCCCAACTGCAGGGTGACAACTCCAACTGGGGAGTTTCGTGTCCTGGCCTGAACGTCCCTTTGGGATATGAGATAGAAAACCAATACGATTCGTTGTTCACGACCAATAGTTGCTTGATATTAGGACCAGATCTGCAAAAAGGGTATCATTCCTCAGGCCGATCTGCACGATTTTCCAGTTTGTCGAGTGGAATGCTAGTGTCCAGCATTGTTACAAACCTGATGCATGGGAACAGGCAGACTGTCTATCCAGATGTCGTAAAGTATTGCGCGAAAATAAACGCATACGTAGCCTAACTTGCTAATGGAATTGGTTCCTGTGTTCGACCTGCTTGAAAAGTTTGCCTAACTTCTGGCTGGCCTATTTATCCACGCGCCGAACCATCGCATCTTAACGATGGGTGTAGTGGTCTTCAACTAGAATAGGGTTTAGAAAGTCCTTGACATAATTGGCGGCATCTAAAGGTCGGAAATAAGGAGTTTGCCAACTATTATCGAAACAAATGATTGGGACAGTTTTTATGTTGACTGGAAGGAACGAAAAGCCTCAAGTTCAGATAAAGGAAATCTTTCCGAAAATCGCTAGACCAGGCTTTACTGTACAGGACGAGTATGGAGTTTGTGTCTGGAATATCTGCGACCGCGTCAGATTTCGCGGTGGTGAAAATGTCACTCAGTGTCTCAATACTGAGGGGATGAATCGAAGGCAGCGCATGCAAATAAAGGGTGAGAAGAGATCGGTTGCCGCCGATACACCGTATAAACTGCCAAATAGTTGGAACAAGCGCTTCGTGACTGCTTATTTATTATGATATCCGCATCCCCACTCAGATTCATGTTGCTTGTACATGTCTCAGTGTAAGTAACGGAATCTTTGCATTGCAGTGTAACGACGACAAAATACTAAGTGAAAAGAGACAATTATCATTGTGGATGAATTTACTGTCGCATTAACAGGTGTAATCCTAGGCGAAATTTGCGCATGTATCCTGCAGTGCCCCTTTTCATTTTGTTTGTCTTTTTTCTCTTGACTGGGTTGGGATTCTATTGCGTTTGGTCTTGCGCTGGACGTCCAAAACGTCGGTGCTACGGTTGTCTAGCGCCTTTTCGCTCGTGGTCTTGGGTAATCTTTCGTACAATTTATAATGACCGTGAAGGCATTTTCCTGTTCGAAAATATGCACACTCATTACTAGTCTTGCACTGAGAATCGAGCCTAACTGTTACTTCATAAACGACTCATATGCCTAGCTTGACCACGGTATTGTAGTTGCGACGGCCTTGTACAGGTCCTTCGAGAGAAATGCCATATTATTGCAGAATCTGCGGATTAGATCGCAGACTTTCAAAATCACGGTATAGCCCTTTAAACATGTGAAAGCTTGCTTAAGCAAGTAGCCTTCTGAGAACTACAGCCGCTTTAGTCTAAGATCGATCATTCAAACTGTCATCCAGTCAGGAAAGGGCGCAGCGACTGAATGGCAGGTGATGAGGCGCTGATGAACTTCGATTCGATGAATAGTAATGACTCATCTTTAAGACCCCGTCTGTCAACCATCTGCACCGCGTAGATCGCCTGTTTGTTCTGGTCCCAACTGGTGGTCAGAATTAAGATTGGCTGAATTCTCTCTGTCGTCAATCCTCCCGTCTAAATTCACATTGCTTATCGGTAGGCTGCCACGCTCAAACCCGTTCTGACTCAGTCTAGCAATCGAACTCAAGTGAGCGAGGGTAGAGTGTGGTAGACGGTAGACTAATCCGTCTTACCACAAACTGACGCACAGGTCACCAGTTTTGTGCCCACTCCGTGGGGCACGCGGTGGGCATCGCCGCTTGCGACTGTCAACTTGTCAGATTGCCTGCTCTACAAGACTGGCATTATGGTATTACCGACAAAGACAAGAGAGACTGGGATGGCCATTTCTGGCTTATTAGCCGTCGTCAGCCAGTCATACCCAACCCCGAAGTGTGGAACACCCGAGGTCCGAACTCGCGACCTATTAGTTAGAAGTCCACGCCTCTAACCACTGGGCCACAAAACCGTTGCCCTGTCGGTTTCTATTGGGAATATACAATGGTAGGGGGCGGTTATCGATCTTTGTCACGGAATTCACTCGTTCCATTGTGCCTAACGGGCTCTTTCTCGAGCCCAACCATCAGCCGCAGAGCGGCGCATGATATAGGCAGTATGGTATTGCCGACAAAGACAAGGGAGACTGGAGTGGCCATTTCTGGCTTATTAGCCGTCGTCAGCCTGTCATACCCAACTCCGAAGTGTGGAACACCTGGGACTCGATCCTGCGACCTGTCGGTTAGGAGTCCAACGTCCCTAACTATTGTATATACCCGACTGCGACCAACAAGGCGACGAGCCCGTGGCTTAGTGGTCGCGTTATCGAGTTCCAGATGTTCCACACTTCGGGACTGGGTATGGCCGGCGGACGACGGCTAACAAACCAGATACGACCATTTCAGTGTCGTTTGTCTTTGCCGGTAATGCTGTTTTGTCCTTTATCTCTCCTGTGGATGAATTTCTGGACCGGTTCCACATCAAAATCTGATACACTATCCTGCTATCGCGTCTGACCCTTTTGTTTTAGAAGCCTTGTATAGATTTTTGGGACCCGTTGTAGTTCTGGTGTGCAGTGCGCACAGTTTCGTGCAGTAACTGACTGAAGTCAGAGTGGCTCTGAAGACGAATACCTCGAGCGTTATTGGACAGTCAGTTCACCGGATCGAAAATAAATTATTGACAGTGACGTTTTCAGGACGGGGTCACTTTTTGTTGGGTGAATTTCTGGGCACAGTTTAGGTGTAGCTGACTTAATTCTGTCAAAACCTCTCAGGAATAGACACTGTTTATGGATGCTGTGAAACGACCAAAGTTGGCCGTACGGAATCGCGTATGATTAGCGAGGTACTTGAAGGAATCTTTGTCACACTTTTGGAGAACCCACCCACTCTTTTCGGGCAGCACAAACGGAGCAGCAGAGATCCAAGGACCATCTCCATGTTATGACGGCGTATGCTGAACATGATTTATAGCTGGTCTTCACTCCGCCTCCAGGCGGGTAACGGTATCCGGCGGAGTGCAGAATTTTGGTTAATCAGGCCACATTGAGTCAAGTCTTTTGACCTGACCAGGCGACTGGCCCAATTATCACAAGTACATAAAACAGCGCAGACTCTTATTAAGGGAAGCCACTGGAAGCAACATTTGCTGCTGCTGTTTCCCTGTCAGACATTTGTCATTGCGCAATCGACTTTTGCTTTCTCGGTATCAGTGATTCCACCATGGGGCGTGCTCTACGATCGCTAGCAGTTATGACTGGCCTGGGGACGCTCATGGCCAATACGCATAAGTGAATTTGCAGTACACAGAGCATTTCGTCGTCTACCTAAAAGGCAGCTCGTTCTCACAGTCTTGTCGCAGTGATTTATGACTCGGAACAACCACAGGCCGAACTGGCGACCCTAATGGGGTAAATTTACCAGCGTACACATATACGATGCACATCTATTTTTCAATATTAAACCCGAATAAAATGCCGATCCAGTTAACGAGAATCTATCATATAAGACGTGGATCTTTGCTTGTGACCAAACGTTGTATGCGTCGTGCACACTCTAAACGATTATCTTGAATAATTAGTCCAGCTCTTTAGAGACCATCCTCTAGTTGGGGTCCTCTTGGCGATAGATTTCGAGACTAATACTCGTAATTTTTTCCTGGTCTTGTCTGTTGATGGGTTGGCTGCGATGCCCGTTTACTCAGAATAGTAATCTAGGAAATTAGAATTCACTGGTCGTCTCTCGACTGTCCGCAACTAATGATACATCCGCCGCTGCCTTTACTATCGGCCCTTCTATCGTACACTGCCGTTATTACACGTGAAACACCTTAGAGGCAAATGAGGACGAATTGCGACAGTGAAACAAATCCCGTAGTTACTTTCACGGTCATTTATTCGTTTTTCGACCACTTCTGCAGATATTTACAATGAAGAGTCCCGAGAAGGCAAAAGTTAATCGGCGGATATGGGAATGCAAGCGAAAGATCCGTTCCGGTAATCAGTGGTTTCTCCCCAATTTATTTTTTAACATAGAACTATCCGATAAACCAGAATCTTGGAAGGCCTGTAATTACGCCAATTCCATCGATTTATTCTTAAGAAGTTCTCACGACAGCTGTGAGCGAATCGACTCCCGAACAGTCTCCTACGAAGATTTTTTTGAAAGGTTTGAGAAGCCAAGCATCCCAGTCATTATTCAGAACGACCAACTGTCATGGCCTGCTTCCAACAAGTGGACCTTGAAGGTAGTGCTTAGATCTACTTTCACTGAACCGCGTTTGTAGCGTTTGGCAAAACGCTTTAGGAACCAAAAATTTAAATGCGGCGACGATGATGACGGTCACAGTGTTAGGATCAAGATGAAGTATTTTGTGGAATACATGCAAAATAACAATGACGACAGTCCTTTGTACATATTTGATGGAAGTTTTGGAGAGGTGAGTTTTAAGTAGATCTCTCCTGAACCCAGAATTCATCTCTAGCATCGAAAACTGAGGAAGCTCCTTTCTGAGTACTCGGTCAGCAAGTTCTTTCCTGAAGATTTATTTAGTATTGGCAAAGATGGCAACCGACCCCCATACAGGTAGCTCAGTCGCTTTAATGTTTGTCAAATTACAGATGGTTCTGCATGGGACCTGCACGTTCAGGCACGCTAATCCACGTAGATCCGCTGGCAACAAGCGCTTGGAACGCCCTTCTTAGAGGCTACAAGAGGTTAGCATCTAGTTAGCGTCTGCACACCACTGCCTCTTCGAAATACTTATTTGTATACTAGTAATTAAGTAGTACCAACTACTTCTTACTACTTCCTTACTGGCCACTTAAATACAAGTCAAATTAGACCCACTATTGCGGTAATGACTCACAAAAATTCTGGTAAATAACTCTTACGTACCTGCACTTGGTTCGACGGCATGCATGCATGATCTAGCCATTTTCGATAATGTTGCGGACACTATTCCAACACGTGACGGTCAATGGTATCGGATCTGCAGACCTTGGCCCACTCTTCTCAGACAACGGGATCCAAACACAGATGGTTTGAGGGTCACTTCCTTGTCTTGACGGACTGTGTTAGCCCATGTTTAGATTTGACCACCACTTCGCCGGCTCCAGATAGGTAACGAAGTTGGATCAAGGACAGTTATGCTAAACTCGTTGGTGAATGGCAAAGGACATGCCCGAGACACCTGCACGAGTTTGTCATAGCGAGTGCGGACTGGGTCATTTGAAACGACGTTGTTGCGCCTCACTCGAGAGATGCTATTCGGACGACGCAAGTATAACCCCTGCAGTTTTCGCCCGTTTTGCACGCGTGCAAATCATATAGGAGGACTGATCAGCCAAATGACGAGTACATTCGGATTTTTATAGCGATCGAGATATCACGTCACGTCCCGAGATACTTTATAAGGCCTGCGTAAACCTTGTGGACGGCATCCACTGGGGTTGATGATCGCGCCCCACCCCGAGCTCAGGCCGTGCTGATGCTCTCTTTTTTGCGCTTGCCGTTAAAAAGTGGGAAAGATTGAAGAGGACATCTGCGAGAGGCATTGCGGTACTGGTTTATTTTGCGATATTTCTTGCACACTGATCTGCTGCCCAGTCGGTCGAAGGGTTTCATCAGAGATTATATCCATTCTTTGGCGCCTGCAACGGCCTCTATCCTTCCGTGTACTCCCGCCTTCATGACTCCTGGAACTACTGAATTTAATCTTCAACTTTGACCCCAGCTGAAAATGATATTCAATGTCGACGAGGGAGCATTTGGTTGGTCGATCTTGTTCCTCCCTGATGCTTTTGCGAATTTCGAATCCGCGGATCTCTGTGTCTGTGTCCTGTGGCAAGGGGCTTTTCAAAATTTTGCCCACACTTTCTAGTTCACACGAAGTTGAGGCTCCACTTCCACAACCGAAGTTTTAGAGAGCTAGTCCCTATCCCCCTCTCCCTGCTCCCTAGGAGCGTCATTTCCCGTTGTTTAAATCGGTTGTCTATATTGTCAGGATTTCCTTACACTAGTTTATCTACTCTTGGACAACTCCGCTTTCGGTCTTGAGATCATGTGTTTTTAGCCACACCTAGTTGACCGCTTCTTCGTCGTTCACTCTAGCAATGGGAGTGCTGTACCCAAATTATTTTAAATCTCCTGTGACTTATTTTTCGTCTCCTAGGTGGTGCTTCTTCCCTCCTCAGACACCCAAGGATCTTATAACTCCACGACCGAGGGAAGGTGGCAAGAACCACAATGAGGCAATCACTTGGTTCATCTATGTCTACCCGCGGACACTGGCAGCTGATTGGCCGGCTGCCTACAAGCCGCTTGAAGTAATCCAAGCTCCGGGAGAGACCGTTTTCGTGCCGTTCGGCTGGTGGCATGTGGTCATCAATCTCACGGATACCATAGCGGTAACTCAAAATTTCTGTAGGTATGTATCCTGGAGTACTGACGAAGACAAGGGGGTGGGGTGACCATTTCGGGCTTGTTGGCTATCACCAGTCAGCCATGCTTAGTCCCAGGTTTACAGGACTCGGGATTCGGACCCGGATTCTTTGGCCACAGAGCATTGTTAGATCCAACGCTCTACCATTGTACCACGGCCCGATTGTCTCATAGGTTATGATCGGGAATGTTAACTGTAGTGGGGGTGGGGTGGGGTCGATGATCGATCAGGTTATGAGATATGCTCGTCCCGTCGCGCCTTCAGGCTCATTCTAGAGCCCTCACCGGCAGTTGCGGAGCCATCAGTTGGAACGGGACGATTATGTTCCTAACCGGATCAGTGTGCGCACTTCCCGCAACAACTGCCTTTATATAGGTGTTTCCAGGCATGGGGGCAGTAAACCACTGACTCTGTCTGGTTGTTTCAGCCTCCATTCAGTGAACTGGTCACCTAATCAGTGTCTGTAGCCGGGGAGGATAGCAAAAATGCACACAGCTGGTTCACGGATGGTGCCTGCCCGATTGACCGGCGACACTGTTGAACCGGTGTCTTAGGATCCCTCTGCCTAGCAATCTTTAAAAGGATAGGTATCTAAAGACGTAATTCCTTAGCTTGCCTTTTATATACGCTGAGCCCTACTGGAATTCCGTGTTAGTCCTACTTTTGCGTCTACGCAGAACTTGCGGACTAGGCGTTAAGTCTGCATTCCATGTTGCCCTTTGCTCCTAGTACCGTCAACTTTCCCTTCGTGTGGCACAAAACTCAGCGCAAGCGACCGAAGTTCGCTCAGCGTTGGCTTCGTGCCCTTCGTCTACAGAGACCCGAATTGGCGCTCATTGCTGATAAAATGAACACCGCTCAGCCCCTGCCAAATGCCCCTGCGTCATCCTCCTCCTCCTCCTCCTCGTCCTCTTCATCGTCTTCCTCTTCCAGTTCGAGCAGCAGTTCTGAAGAGGACTCAGACACAGAAAGGTCCCCCAAGTGAGTTTTGATGTCCTCTACCATTATATATATATAAATTTGAAAACCGACAAAGGCAAGGGAGACCGGAATGTCCATTTCTGGCTTATTAGCCGTCATCAGCCAGTCATACCCAATCCCAAGTGTGAACCACCTGGGATTCGAACCCGGGATCTTTGGTCATTGAGTCGGACGCTCTACCAATGAGCTACAGACTCGTGTCCTGTCAGTTGTGATCGGGAATATTCATTGTGGTGAAGTGGAGTTCACTTATCAAGTTACGGGACATGATCGTCCCTTTGTGCCTTGGGGCTCAATCTCGAACCCTCGCAGGCAGTCGCATAGCGACTAGTTGCGTATGCACATGGTGGAATACCGACAAGGGGAGACCGGAATGGCCATTTCCGGCTTATTGGCCGTCATCAGCCAGTCATACGCAATCCCAAGTGTGAACCACCCAGGGTTTTCCAGCTTACTTTGGGCAACCTTTGGTTACTGTTATTCTTCTACTGTTTTGCTTTGTGCCAAACCCCTAGGATCCTGACAGATCTATCTAGAAAATCTCCCAGAGTGAAAGTACCACTTCTTCCTGATTCTCCTCTGTTAGATTATCACCTTATCTTTTCCATTTTTTTAGGCGGCGCTTCTCGACCTCACAGGAATCACCGCCCCAACCCAAACGATCACGTCAGTAGCACTTTCTGCGCCGTGCGCTTTTCCAAGCACAATCATTGGCCTGTCTTGAAATTCCCGGCCTCACTGGCCACCCATTTTATTATTTTTATAACCGTTGTAATATTAAAGGTCTTGTATCAGCCTCTTTGTTGTCTACCACAGTGCGCGATCCTACAGTAACTGTTCGCCATTAGCAATTTCTAACATAAAATCAAAATCTGACCCAACATGTACTCTCGTCGTGGGGAGCGGCCACACTTTGGTAGACACGCCGACGAGAAAGGAAGTGTTGATGGGTGCTTGCACATAGGGGTTGTTCTGTCTCTGGGGGAAGTGCCGGCCGTGTTGTGGCAGTTGAGAGATGATTGGTCAGCCACTGCGCCAGAGCCCACCTCCAGTCATCTCGAGTTAGTCTTGCCACTGCAACGAGGTAGGTGGGAGAAGGAGAGGTGAGGTAAACTCTTAACAAGTCCATATATACAGTGCGTGACGGATCTGATGAAATGTTGGCCGAAAGGCTGAAATGCGTTTCGGATTAGGAAGGATTTTTAAGGTGGCGCTGTAATATTAATTACCACGTAGCTTAATCCTATAGTGGTTCAGAATGGCCAGGATGTCGGCTTTTGAATGTACTTCTTTTTGACCTCCCGCAGTAATCGTACTTGGCAAAAAATGACTGCTTAATTAGCATGCATTTTTCACAGTGATTTTGGTTGGCCTTATAAACTCAAATATAATTTATAGAAAACATGCACAAAAATGCGTTCTTTAACTTGTTTGGTAGGAAACCACATTGTCTTTATATTTTATGCCCTAGGCAAGGTTATCTTTCGGTTTTAAAAAGTTTCTAATTATGAAGTTTTTAAGACCGTGCGATGTCCATATATACGGAATGGCACGTGTCCGTTTACCAATGTTCTTCTTGAAGTGTACAACGTAGCCCGTATCCATTGCAAAATTTTTTGAACTCTATACCTTATCTTCTGAAAGGCATTAAGGCATATATGATTTTCCTTACCCGGAACGCATGCAGCTTGTAGACTGAAATCGGTAAACGCTAGTGCAACGACTGATCAGGTAAAAATTATTCGGGAATTGGGAAACTTTTCCAAAACCTAAATATACACTTTTTCGGATATAAAATACGAAGAAAATGTGATTTTCTACCACACAAGTAAAAGAAAGCATATTTTTGTGCATGTCTTCCATAAAATATATCTGAATTTGAATGACCATCGAAAATCAATGTGAAAAATGCATGCTACTTAAATAGTCACTTTTTACCAAGTACTGTGTCTGCGGCAGATGAGAAAAAAGTGTATTCGAGAGCCGATATCCTGCCGAGTCCGAAATACTACAGGATTATGCTTCATGTTAATTAGTATTACAGCGCCACTTTATTAATCCTTCCTAGTCGAAAACGCATTTCAGAATTTCGGCCAGCATTTCATGAGATTGGTCACACACTGTACATAGTGCGTGACCGATCTGATGAAATGTTGGCCGAAATTCTGAAACGCGTTTTCGATTAGGAAGGATTTCTTAGGTGGGTTTGTAATGTTGCTTATCAAACAACATAATCCCATAGTATTTTGAACTCGCCAGGATGTCGACTCTTGAATGAACTTCTTTTCGACCTCCTATAGAAGCCACACTCGGTAAAAAGATGACTACTTACGCAGCATGTATTTTTCACATTGATTTTCGATGGTCTTATGAATTCAAATATTGTTTATGGAAAACATGCTCAAAATGTGCTTTCTTTTACCTGTTTGATTGAAAATAACATTGTGTTTGCTCTCAATACCCGGAGGAAGTGCATATTTAGGTTTTGAAAAAGTTTCCCAAGTCCCCAATACTTTTGCGCTAGATCAGCCGTTGTATTACCATTCAGCGATTCCAGTCTACAAGGTGCACGCTTTTCGCATGAGAAAAATCATGTATTCTCCTGTGCCTTTAAGAAGATACCGTGTTGAGTTCATAAAATTTTGCAACGGATGTGGACTATGTTGTACATTTTACGAGGAGCATTGGCAAACGGAGATGTGCGACGCCGTATGTATGGACATCGCATGGTTTTAAAAATCTCCTTATTAGAAACTTTTTTTAAAACCTGAATATACACTTTCTTCGGGTATTAGATGTAAAGACAATGTTATTTTCTACCAAATGAGTAAAAGAAAACATATTATAATGCATTTTTCCATAAAAAAAGCATTTTAATCTATAAGACCATCGGAAATCAATGTGAAAAATACATGCTATGTAAGTAGTCATTTTTTTTACCGAGTGTGGCTTCTATAGGAGGACGAAAAGATGTGCATTCAAGAGCCGACATCCTGGCGAGTCTGAAATATTATAGGGTTATGTCGCAAGATAATCAGTATTACAAATCCACCTAAGTGATCCTTCCTAGTCGGAAACGCATTTCAACCGACACTTCATCAGATCCGTCACGCACTATACGTATACGATGATTAGTGATGCACTGGTGTACCGTGGGGGGATTTGCCAGTGTCGATCTCATTCAATCGACCGTCCGAGCCTGTCAACTAGGTAGTGATGGGAGTGGACACAGTGTCTGTCACGACATGAAGACCTACGTCAAGGTGTGACAGCACATCCACCAAGTACGGCAGTAGTTGGGGGCTCTCACGGGGTCTGCACCGCCTGATTAAGGCGTTCCGTGAGCCGATCTGGCCTGTGTTTTGTTCCAGCGCAGAAACACAGACGGACACACGCTCATGACGCGTACGGGGCCTATCAGATAGGTTATGAGCATTTAGTTGAGCCGAGGTTCGCTACTGCTTCACCGCCTGACATTTGTCACTGCAGATCGGGTGTTTACGAATACGGGCTGGGACGCACCACTTCATCGACCTTTCAAAGCGAGTAAGCTCCGAGTGAATGACAGAGGTTACGAAAAGGCAACCATCAGCCAGGCTGAACTCGAGCAAACTGGCAGAGAAGGTGACGGCACCTAAGGCTGTTCAGTTTTGTTAATTTTTGATGGCGGCGGCCCACAAGGGCGGCATCCCATGATTCGATCGTTGAGGGGGGACGCCTTGGTCGTTTGACATCCCAGCCGGTCTAAGGTGGACCTCTTTGTCAGCTGGCATGATGACTGTCCCAAAGGTGTCTCAACTAAAAGGTCCCTCGTTCTTTCTTGACTTTCGCCTTAATAGTGTTAAGAAACATTGGTGTCGGCGACTATCTAAGTCTGGCGAAACACCATTTCGAAGGAGCTAGTGATTTCACCTGGGTCATCATCAGTGAGGTTTGGACCGGATGTTCACCGAAGGCCCCTTGACACTCCGAAGGTGTTTTGCACGGCAGGTAGTATGCGTGAATCAGTCAAATTTCTAAAAACGTGCCGGTTTTTAGTGCTCTAGACGTTGCTCAACGGCCTTCGTCCGTGCTTGGATGTTTCTGTCACACTAGGACTTAAAACAGTCAAGAAAGTTATCTTATCGCGTCAAGGTAGTGGGATCCAGCGGGCGGACGTCAGCAAAGCCTGGAAAACCTCCGCGCCTCGGTGGGATTTGAACCCACGACAGAAAGCGGAGCCATCTGAGCTAGAAGGCTAGGTAACCAAAAAATTTCCATTATGCTACCAGAATCGGATAGTTACCACAGCGAGGAAGGCGACAAGCTGCCTACGAAACGCGGTCCCCCACACACGAATGAATTTTATCCATGCCCTACAGTTTCCATGGACTAGGTTAACCGCACTTGAATTCACAAACATTGACCAACAATGGTCAATATCCACTACGAAAACCTCTAACTGCCCTTAACAGCCAAGATAATTGCTCGTTTTTAATTTCCATCGGTACGCTACTTGGCATATATAAGGTTCTACAGCAGTCACGAAATTCAATAATTCACCTTGCACCGATGCTGGGATCATTTATTTAAAGCCACATGACAGACAACTCATGACTTTCAGCTTTTGATTTGATTTTTAATTCTAAAATTTCACCATGATCGCTGTCACCGTTGGGGCACTGTCTAACGCATTGGCGTTGCTTAAATGGCATTTGTTATTTTGTTCTCTGAGTTCACCCAACGGAAGGAGTTCTGTAGAGTAGAGAATTGTTTTGGCAAGGGAAAGTATTGGGCAGGAAATGTGTCAACTACCATTGTGCCAGTTCCCTTGGGAATGTGTCATTTAGAGACTGTCGCGCATGCACTGCCAGATTGTTCCATCCTCATCCTCTTCAGCTTAAGAATGGGACACTGAAAGCCAAATTTCGTCATTCGCTGTTTCTTCGCTGAAGAATAAGAAGTCTATGCTGTGCAGGTCTCTGCCTGCGCGCACGCAAGGATTCGCAGGATTCCCCTAAGTAGCCAAGATGTCGGCGTTTCAGTCCCCCTACGCGGCTATTGCGATACTTGACTCTGCAACAGCCATGGATAATTGCATCTTCTGAATAGCGTTATATGTCAGCATGAGCACGAGATTTTATGATTTCTAATTTTATCTCATGGTAGGCGTCATCTCATAGGTTGTGAACCAGTCGGCTGCGCTATTTAAAAACTGCCCCATACTGACTGCATAGTATCGGGGTGATCCGTCCCGTTGTGGAGAGGTATTACTTAAATGAACCAGTGTTTGCAATCTGGCAATGAAGTAATTCATAGGTCATGCCGGATAACCTTCGCCGGATAACCTTCGTAAGCTATGCCTCAGCTTCTGCTGGGGGGGACTCACCCAGAAGAGGACTTTCGTTGATTGCCCCCTCCATGCAGTCCTCACCGTCTTGTTGTTATTGACTCGTAAAGATGGCTAAATCCCACATTTAGCAACTGTCCAGCGGAGGCAGTTCACAAAAGCGCCATTGACGAGTTCCACAAAGCCAGAGGCCGGTACGGAGATTGTGGTGGCTGGACGATACGATCCCCGACTGAAAGTCAGCATGCCATAGTTTGTGAATTAACTTAAAGCAATGCACCCTTCCCTTCCTTTCCCTTGTCTGAATTGGCTGTTTATCGGCTTTAAATTAATTATTCACGATTT